GACTGTACTGCTTACAACCTATTCAGGAAAGACAGAGTCACAGGTCCGGGAGGCGGTGTACTGATCATGGTTAAGAATGGCTGGCCTGCTACTGAATTGTTTGCTGAGTCCTGGGGCAAGATAGAGGCTGTGGTTTGCCAGCTCAGAGTTGGAAAGAAATTGGTCAACGTCGTATGCATATACAGACCACCTGGAAGCTCATATGCTTATAATGCAATGGTAAGGGGGTCAATAGAAATGATCAGTGCCAAGAGACATGAACAAATGCTTACATGTGGGGACTTCAACTTTAGAGAAATAGACTGGATGAGAGCTGAAGTTATTGGAGGTGAGAACAGTGAACAAGCTAAATTTTTTGATATGTGTGAAAGCTCCTATCTAACACAGCATGTGAAAAACTTCACTAGGTCCCGAGGTGATGATGAACCGTCAACACTGGATCTGGTGCTGACAAAAGATGCACTGGAGGCTGATGATATGGAATTCAAGCCGCCAGTTGGTTCAAGTGACCATTGTGTGCTAATATTTAATTTTTATGTTGAATGTTCTGAGAGGATCACTGACTGTGAAAACAAACACCAAAAGAGGAACTATCATAAGGGCTCTTACAATGAAGCAAATAAGATGTTTGATGATATCAAATGGGATGAAGAGCTTCAAGGCAAGGATGTGGAGGAAGCATGGGGTACTTTTATTGGGCACTATAATTGTGTTGTGAACAAGACAATACCATTGTACCCTAAGAGAGCCAAAAACCATCACAAGAAGTGGACCAACAAACGTGTGCTTGAACAAATACAAAAGAAAGAAAGTGCTTGGACCAGGTTCAGGAAAAACCGAAAGTCTATACGCTTGAAGAACATATATACCAAAATACGCAATGAAACGACCAAGATGGTGAGGGAGGCCAAGTACAACTTTGAGCACAAACTGGCTCATGAAATCAAATCAGATCCCAGAGCTTTCTTTGCCTACGCCAGGAGCAAGACATCGCTCAAGGAAGAAGTTCTGACAGTGACTAAAGATGACGGGAGCTTGACAACATCATTGGAAGAGACTTGTGATGTAATGAACCAGAAGTTCCAGGAAGTGTTTACCAACACAGAAGGAACAATGCCACCAGCTGTGACTCAAGTTACGGGAGCCAAACTTGAGATATGTGATATAGACTTAGATGAGGTAATGACTCTGTTGAAAGGACTTAAGACACCATCATCACCTGGACCAGATGGCCTACACCCCATCATGCTCAAAAAGTGTGCACTCAGCCTTTCAAAACCTCTACTCAGCATCTTCAATATGTCATTAGAGTCTGGGGAACTGCCAAGAGACTGGAAACAAGCAAACGTTACGCCCATCTTCAAAAAAGGGAAGCATTCTGATCCCTTGAATTACCGCCCAGTCAGCTTGACATCTGTTGCATGCAAGGCTCTTGAGAAACTGATCAGAAAGAGGGTGGTTGAACACTTGGAGATGAACAATTTATTGAGCAGTCATCAGCATGGTTTCCGTACAAAAAGGTCCTGCCTCACACAGCTACTGGAGTACTTCTTTGACCTCGAAAATGCCCTCGATGAAGGTGAGAGTGTAGATGCCCTTTACATGGACTACTGAAAAGCTTTTGATACGGTTCCCCATGAACATCTCATTGCCAAGATTCGAGGAATGGGCATAGATGGTCTGGTTGCAAAATGGATCACTGGCTTCCTGAGAGAACGTGAGTCGTGAGCAGAGGGTTGTGGTGAGAGGCTGCTACTCGGGATGGAGAGCTGTCAGGAGCGGAGTACCCCAGGGTAGTGTTTTAGGACCGACCCTCTTTCTGATATACATAGATGACCTCATGACAGTCGGTGACACACCAGGGAAATAAGCTAAAATTAGAGCACTCTATTTATTGCTCCCGCTACTTCACCGTCTCCCATAGGGTCCTGTGTTGAGCTGGTGTCGAGGCTCTAAAAATGAGGCCGATTTTTGCACCATTCTCACAAAAACCGCTCGGACCGCCTGGAAACCAATTGTTCCGCTCTAAAAATTTCATGATCGACGGGAAAATGAATGAGGAAAAGATTGGTCCTGAAATAATTCTGAACTCCCTGTAGAACATATCGAAATATGGCTGCAAACTAGGAGCATGTCAAAATCGACAAAACAATACAAATAAACTTACCGGGATTTTTTTATTTTCCATGCATCTGTGTATGAAATCAGTCGGTTTTTCGGAAAGATCATCTTCTGTTTAATAAATAATTCCACAATTGCAATCGAGAAAAAAAAAACATTTACGCTGTGACAGCAGTTTTGGCATTGTGCCAGTAGTGTGGCGTGCGCGGTGCTGCGTGGTCGTCGGGACGGAGTTGTGAGTATTTTCGGTGTTTTAAATGGTTGATGGCCATTTGAACCAGCTTCATATTATTTCCTACAAATTTTTGCATCAAATTATTGCTTTGAAAGACCATTGAAACCCCTTATCTCTTCATGAAACACGATCATATTCATCGTCGACGAAAATGGCGCGGGACTCCATGTGCATTCCGATCGAAATAAATCGTAAATTAAATAATATTCGATGATTAGTATCATATTCTAGTGACACATTTTCATAAAATAAGGCATAAACTTTGCAAGGAAGTCAACATTGGATAATTGGATTCTTATTTTGCTCACATATCCTTGCAGTAGTCAAATGGCTCAATTGTTAGATAGATGTAAGCATATGTTTTGGCTTGATGTTTGCTGTGAAACCACCCAGCCACTTGCTGGTTGAGTGGTTTTCTGATAATTACCTGATAATCATTTCTCCTTTTCCTTAAAAGAAACTAAAATTCCTTTCAAAGTAATCCATTTTAACTTTTAAGGAAAGGCGGCTTGCTCATTGGCATTTCATGTTCTTGTTTTGTTATTGCTGGCAGTATTTTGATACAATAATGCAATATGAATTTTTTGCAATAATAAAACCTAAGACAAACTTAGTTAATGCGTCAATCAAACACCCAACAGAAAGATTGTGAGTCCTTGTGACGTGAAGTAGAATATACTATGAATGTGTTATATAGAATATGCCAAATATTAAATTAATTATTATTTGATACTGATAGCTGAGCAGGTGAATTATGCCACAATATAATTTCATTTTCTGGTTTTGAAATAGCCGGCAGTATTTTACTTCAACAAATGTAATATACATGGAATACATGTTGTTATGTTACCTATGTTAAAAGTTTAATAACAGCCAACAGAAGGAGCTGTTTCAGCAGATAATGTTTGTACCTTATGCATTACCTTTCTTTTCTGCAGGACCATGCTTCCGCTGGGTGGTCGACATTTGCCTCCTGAAGAAGTTGAGCAACATGAAGACCACCAGATGAGGTGTCTGCCGTTCATGTGGAACTCTGCAGACTACAAGTGTTATGCCAACCACAACCAAAGTGCTGTGATCATGGAGGCATGAACCTCATGACAACACTTCAGATTTGCAGTTGAACCAAAGTGTGATTCAAACCACCTGTGGCATCTCACTCAATGTGTGAACAGTGTGATTATTGTGCAGTGTTCAGCTGCAACTAAGACATTTATTAGTGACTTGTTTTGCAATTAGCCACCAAAAGCATTTTTGGGCTGGCTGCTGTAATTTGTTGTGCACTGCGCAATAGTGGTAGTGTTTTGTCACTTGTCTAGTTGTCAGTTGTGCATGTTGCATGTTTCTCTTCCCTCGGCCCTCATTATCAGTTAAGTGGTGAATTGGCATCACTCAGTCTCCCCAGATCTCCATTGACTGTCTGTCAACCACCTAACTTGAGATGGTATTTGCTAATAGTGTCAGAAAAGAAGTGATTGTAGACATTTTTAGGAATATGAGCTCCGTTTCATGCGTGTTCCAGTGGTCATTTTGTCACATGTCCCATAGTGTAATAAATGGAAACTGTTGTTCCCTTTTGAAGGTACTCGCGGATGCAGAAAGCGTTGGGCCTAATTATTAAACGCACCCTCCTATCAGCGACGCACGAAATCGACAAATATCATCCTTTTTAGAACAGGAAGAAACGAAAACTTGTGAACATAGCTGTACCTACAACAGTGCATAAGGAATTGAAATTCTGGGAGTTTTTGAAATTCGGAGAAACTCAAGTTGTCGACAGGTATGCCCCCTTGCACGTCAAAGACCGCCTAAAAAACAAACGTCTACAAATGAAGGCAGTATTCGTATGCTCGTTGTAATTGCAGCAGCCTAGCAACATGTATTGCGGTCCGATGGCGAATTACACTCGTGCTCAAAAACTATGCCGGTAACTGCCAATGCACTTAGGTCATAGGTGAGGAGAGGAAGGGTTATGTCATATGTCAACATCATAGAAATGGCTTCATCTGAGCTGTGCCTATTGTACATAATTCAACCAATCTATGCATTTCGTTTCTTGCAATCTACTCATGCTTTCACTCCAGCTTCAGAGTAATCATCCCATATTGTACGTCTTAAGATATTGATTTCTATGGCGGTTTGCAATTACTAGCCACGTCTCACCTCAGTTTGGTGGCCCCGCATCGGCCCACTCGGCCGCTCTAAAATTGACTTACGGAGGAGGATGGTGGCTTTTATTTTAGCTTCTCCGCCGACTGCGGGGAGCGCCGTCGCCGAGGTAGGAGCAATAATTAGCTTATGTTTGGGACTAATTTCCACGCTTAATTAACATTTTAATGTTATTTTAATTAATTCATGTTAATCTTTGACGCATTCTCTTTCTATTGATACCATCCACCGGTCTGAGAATTACTGCCTTGCTGCGTAAGGGCCGATAAAAGATCACGCTTTTAGGGGTATCTCTTCAACATGGTGCAGGAGCAATAAATAGAGCGCTCTAATTTTAGCTTATTTCCCTGGTATGTCACCAACTGATGAGGAATTTGGATTCTCCTGGGAAACTCTTTGCAGATGACGCGAAAATCTACAGAAGGATTGGATGCCCCAGAGATGGAACCATTCTTCAAGAGGACATTTGCAAACTAGAAATATGGAGTCAAAAATGGTTGCTGGACTTCAACAAGGATAAATGCAAGGTGATGCACTTTGGTCACAAGAATCCAGGCTACAACTACTCTCTCCAAGGAACGACTTTAACGGCGACTGTTAAAGAAAAGGATCTGGGGGTGATTGTTACTCCTGACCTCAAAGCATCCGAGCAAGTGACCAGGGCCGCGGCAGCAGCGAACTCCATGCTGGGGAGGATAAGAAAAACCTTTACATGTATGGACAAGGAAATGTTCCTGCCTATCTATAAGACACTCGTGCGACCTCGAATGGAACATGCCATTCAGGCGTGGTCACCTTACCTCCAGAGGGACATAAACAAGTTAGAGAAGGTTCAGAGGAGAGCCACGAAACTTATACCAAGATTGGCTGCCAAACCATACGAAGTCCGTCTGGCGGAACTGAACATGACAAGTCTGGAAGAAAGGAGACATAGGGGCGACATGATAGAAGTGTTTAAATTGATTCATGGATTTGATATGGTCAATGCAGGAGAAGATTTCTTGAAACTTGAGACAGGCGACAACAAGGGGCACGCTCTCAAACTCCAGAAGCCAAGGCATCGCACGCTTAAACGAAATATGTTCTTTTCGTCAAGAGTAATTGAACAGTGGAACAAGTTGCCTGAAGAAGTCGTTACCAGCAAAAATGTAAACATATTCAAGAACAAATATGACAAGCACATCAAGAAGACTACGGAGAGAGGCAGCATCCTATGAGCATCCTGCTCCCTTTGCCTCTTACAGATCTACTTGGTAAGCATCTACTTGGTAAGCATCAAGAACGGGATCTCCAGGCCAAGTGGCCTTTTCCCTCCCGATCACTGTGAAGGTAAGGTAAGGTAGGTAGGTAAAAATGCCCAAGGCTTATAGGTATCTCGTCTTGTTTTGTCTGATGTCTAGTTGAAGTTATAATCTTGATCTCAATCTTGGTAGTTTTTTTTTGCAATACACTGCTATGACATCACATCATTTGAGAGCTAATTGAATGCTGACAAAGCTTTGACTGCAAGTTCGCACCTACATGAAGTCTAATCGCAAAAATCTGTTAAAAATTGTGTTTATGCCAATCCGTGGCCAATTCACCACGGTCATAGATAAGATAATAAGCATTGAGACCTGACCTATCGTGACCTGGGGTGACCTATCGTTACCTACCTAAGCTACCCCTGTGACCTGGCATGACCTATCGTGACCTGACTTGACCTGACATGACCCAAAGTGACCTTACCTGATCCAAAGTGACCTTTTTGACCCCTTTGACTTCAAATTTACCACTAAATCGCCATTTTGCGTATATCTAGATTTCTCGATGTCACAATAACTCGAAATTAATATCACTCGAACTGTCTAATTTTGCGTAAATTGTGGCTTCGAGGGTGAAGCGAAGCGAACGGAGTTCGCTTGCAATTGCAATTCACAAGCATTGAGTTTCGTGTTCACAAGACCAATGCGCCGTTTCTGTCAACTCTCGAGGTAAGTAGTGATTCAAAGTCTTGCGAGCGTTTTGACGTCATTGAAAAACTTGTCTGTTGACCTCTGCGGACTGCCTTTGTTTCCTTCCTATTTCTAAAATAACAATGCTGATGCTGCACGTAGATCCAAATATTATAATTCTGTGCAATGTAGGATGTATTTAGTCACAAGTTTGAGTCGAAGGTTGAAGCCATTTGTCAAAATCACTAGCTTTATGAGGAATCAATGACGTCATTGAGAAGCGTTTATTAAAGCGTTTGTCCTTTCAATCATTCGGCATCAATTCAGTTCTCGTGATCAATTCGAATCATTCGAATCAATTCGAATGAGCATTTGGGTCATTTTGTTTTATTTTATGATGGACTTTTTGTCAGAGTGCTAAAAAAGGTACAGCAATGTAGTCTTCGTTTTGACTTATTCTGATTCTGCTGAAGTTTTACATACAAATGGAAATGCTGTGTGGCTTGTGCCAGAGTCCTACATTGACTGAAGGCTGGATAGACCCACTGAGACAAAAAATGGCTTTCGCATTCGTTTCATTATTTTTATTTTCAGGATATTTAAATGTTTCTCCTCCACACTGCAACCCCTACCCCGGGGTGGTCAGGGAACTATTTTTTTTTTTTGTAAATTTGCTATTTAGCTTGAATGTTTGAATGGACGGAACGGAACAGAGCCGGAGCCCACGCTAAGCAGAGCTTGTTGCGCAGACCTTGACCCCTACTGTCCAATCACGCAATTCCGGGTAACTGGAGAATTAAATTGCCAAAGTTTAACGAGCCCTGATACGGTCTGTCCCACTCAACTGACTTCAACTGGCTGCGGCTGCTCCCACCAACTGCAGACCATCCCCGTCAGGAGTCTAAAATATCTAGCGCCGGTGCGTCTCAAACCCGGGCTCTCACTACCAGGAGTCTGGTGCTCTACCAACTGAGCTATGGGACAGGCAACTAACTATCCCTTGCAGTCGGCTCCCATTGGAGCGCAGTGCTGGTGCTCACCGTAGCTCCTAAGTCCTAAGGGAGCTCACCCGTAGCTGGGCGCAGAGAGTACTGGGGGGAGGGCTGGTCGGACTGTCCATTGGATGGGTTCGGCCCCGGTGATTCTCTAGGGTGCCTGCCCAGACCAATGTCTCCCCATGTATGTATGTATGTATTTACGATCATGGGCGATCCACACATGGCGTGGCGATTACTGCCCAGAGTCTGTGTCGGGTATATGCATGCAGGAACAAAGACCAGTCAAACAACAACACACACACACACACAACACACGCACACACAGGAAGACTATATGCACGATTTCTAACATACCGTGTACTTATATACAAGACGAGTGCCTAATTCAGGTTATCACGATGGTCTATCGTTTTTCCACAGAGACTTGACAGCGCGTGCGAATTTAGAGGGTGGCAGCTGTGAAAGTTCGGGAGGTAGGTCGTTTAGGAGCGCGGCGGCACGGTAACTGAAACGCCGCTTACCGGTTTCTAGTCGGGGACGCTGGAGCTGGAGAAGGTTATCCTGACGTGTATTTCTATCCCTGGTTGAGGAGTCCCGGTTTCTGGCAAACATAGAGGCAAGTGCTACCGGTTCGCCGTAGTGTATCGCCTTACGTGCAGTGGCCATAGTTTGAAGTTTGTACATATATTCGGGCGGCATCCAGTTGAGTTTCTCGCGCAGGTCAGTGACGTGGTCGAATTTGCGGCGGCCAAAAATAACTCGAGTAGCGAAGTTCAGGATCTTTTGGAGTCGATTCAGGTTCTTTTTTGTTCCATTTCCGTAAACTGAGAGGCAGTAATTTACTCGGGAGATGACTAAAGCTGTGACAATGGTTTTGATGACCCCATCGGGAAGACAGTGCCGCACATGGGAGAGGCCGATGAGCAGGCCCATACACCTCCGGCTGAGCTCGGATACATGGGCTTCCCAGGTCAGACAGCTGTCAAAGACCACGCCGAGGTTTCCTGCCTGCGCACATGGTTCCAGCTCCGCGTCACGAAACGATACGACGACTGGGGGCAAGTGTTTTAGATTTTGACGGCTGCCGAATATCATGAGTTGCGTTTTGCTCGCGTTAACCTTCAGGGCGTTTGAGTGGAACCATTTGTTCAGTGCTTCTAGTGAGGCCTCCATGCGCGAGATAAGGCCACTTACATTGTTTTTTGGACCACTCACTAGAAGCTGGGTATCATCTGCATATTGGAAAACGCATGCATCATCGGCGTGAAGCGCCCAATCGTTTGAGAAAATCGTGAATAAAATCCATAAGTCCCATCATCCTTCTGGCTCTAAAATGGTCTTGTCAGATCAAAAGGGCCTAATCTAACCATGCAAACGAAACAAAAACTAACAAAAATCGCCTACATCTTCTTCATTCTTGCACCACGCACTGCAGTCAGCAGTGCTGGTTCAGGCCAGTTTGATGACACACAGGTGTTGGAGCTCATCACTGATCATCTGACTGCAGTGCACTTTTTATGCTGCACATTTGAACAGGTTTGTGTCCTTCAGGTGGAGTTTGAATCCTAGTTACCATGCTACCAGTTATGCTACACGAAAAACAATTTCATTCAATGGTCATTTCCTGAGAAATAAACTGCCTATAAACCCAAGATTACTTTACTAACAGCCTATCTCTCTAATGTCAGGCCTCACTTGAGTTGGGTCAATTGTCAAAGTTGATGAAAAACACACTACCAACTATACCAAGTACCAGCTACTAAGGAACTATGAACTATGGTGGTGCCTCTTTGTGTCTGACAGACATTGACTGCAAATGTTTGTGTGTTGCTGTCAATAACTGCAAAGGAAAACTCACTCATTTTAATAATTTTCATGACTGTTCTGTATGGGCCCTGTCTAATGCCTGTCCTTCTCCATTGTATTTATTTATATTATTGAAAGTTAACCCGTGCCCTGCTGGGGGGGGGGGGGGGAGGGGGGTGTTTTGAACACCGCCCCCTGCGGTTTTTCGCGAATATCTCAAATTTTTGGTACACCTTATCATACATCAATTCTACACATGTTGTGAAAATTTCAGACCAAGGTCATTCAAGGTCAGGTCACCAGGTCACTTCAAGTGACCTCGCCTCATAAAAAGTTTCAATGTCTGCCATAGCTGCACCGAGTGACCGATCGCTTTGAAACTTTCAGCGATTGCTAAGAGCAATAGCGTGTACAAAATGTTTTTCTCAGAATTTTAATATCGATGACCTAAGGTCTGGTCAATTTTGCGACCTCCCCATTATAAGTCAATGGGAGAAAATTGAGATGCGCCTCTTTTGGACGAAAGACATTATAAACACTCCCAAGCACTGAATTACAAATGGTTTAGACACACGTCAGGCAGGCGTCGTTTTAAGCACTCGATCATTACCGCCCATACATAGGTAATGCTTTGCCACGTGAGTTGCGAAACTTTACTGGAGGCTTTAAGAAAGAACTCAGGCAACACCTGCTTATGAAGCAGCGGGGCGGCGTCGGCTAGGTGTACTTTAAAGAGCAGGCGTGTGTGGGTTAGTGCGTGTGCATGTGTGCATGTTGACCTAAATGACCGTTTTTATCTTTGCGACTGCAGGGTGCGGAATAGCCACTGAACTATGTGGATGTGCTCCATGACGTAAATACATACATACATACATACACTGAACATGAAAATGGTGTCTGTGACCCCTCTTTATGCCCCTGAGGTCATCTCAGGTCATGAATGGTATCTAACAGTTTTTCGCAAATAACTTTTGATAGAGGCATGCTAGAGCGATGAAAACGCCTTAGATGTGTTCAGCTCGACGATACGGATCGACTGATATGCAACATGACCCTTTCCGGTCAGGTCATCACCTTGACCTGAGGTCAAATTTTCAAGTTGACCTTTCAAGGTCAAGTTATAGTTCATTCGATGCGTCTTGACGAGAAGAACACGACAGTGTCACAAAATTAAATTAACCCGCGCCCGGCTGGGGGTCCTGGATTTCCACGCCCTGCTGGGGGGGGGGTGTTTGAACACCCCCCCCCCTTGTAACTCGGCTCCTGGGTCACGTAGCGATACGCGGAAGGCGGCGTTCGAAAGAGCGTAAAAAATAATGACGAAATCACTTCAGTCAATTTTTTGGTCAGGTCAAAGGTCAGGTCACCAGAGGTCATTGAAGGCAAAATTTCGCCGATTTCCAGGTCGAATGTCGAAAATTTCCAAGAAGCTAACGCATAGCTCGTGAACCAATAGAGCTACAGCGCCGCGGAAAAGTGCATTCGATAGCCCTATTAACGCCCTTTCTGAGTAATTCTCTCAGATTTGACCTAACGTCAACGGTTTTGCCTGCAGGGGGCAAAAACTGCAAAAATAGCCGATTTTTTCGGAAACAGTTTTTCTGCAATAACTTTTGACCCAAGCCTTGTACGAGCTTACATTTACCGGCATCGTGTTCCTCTCGTCAAGACGCATCGAATGAACTATAACTTGACCTTGAAAGGTCAACTTGAAAATTTGACCTCAGGTCAAGGTCATGACCTGACCGGAAAGGGTCATGTTGCATATCAGTCGATCCGTATCGTGGAGCTGAACACATATAAGGCGTTTTCATCGCTCTAGCATGCCTCTATCAAAAGTTATTTGCGAAAAACTGTTAGATACCATTCGTGACCTAAGATGACCTCAGGGCACAAACAAGGGTCACGGACACCATTTTCATGTTCAGTGTGTCTAAACCACTTGTAATTCGGTGTTTGGGAGTGCTTATAATGTCTTTCGTCCAAAAGAGGCGCATTTCAATTTTCTCCCATTGACTTATAATGGGGAGGTCGCAAAATTGACCTGACCTTAGGTCATCGATATCAAAATTCTGAGATATACATTTTGTACATGCTATTGCTCTTAGCAATCGCTGAAAGTTTCAAAGCGATCGGTCACTCGGTGTAGCTATGACAGACATTGAAACTTTTTATTAGGTGAGGTCACTTCAAGTGACCTGGTGACTTGACCT